AGTCAAGTATATTTGTTATGGTTAGATCATTCTTACAAAAGTTTACTGTTTAATGGCAGTAATGGGGTCAAAGACTGTCCAGCCAGAGTTTTCTTATATGAGGAGGTAAAACAATAGTAAGAGTTATAGATTCCTTTCTCTTTCAACTTTCTGCATGGAGAAAGTGTTATCATTCCTTGTTCTTCTGTACAGGATAGAGATACAGTCTTTGAAAGTAAAATAACATACTTTTGTAACCAGCACTGTTCTTTACATACTCCTTTCATTCCTTTCCTTTGGGTAGAATTGAAGAAATCATATAGAACATACATAACTCTTTTCTTTCTTTAGATGCAGTTTAGCAGAATAGCCTGCAGTTCAAATATGTGGTATGACCTTGTTTGATTACTGCATTCAGTGGCATCATATTAGATAGAATTGATTTTTTTCAAGTTTATCACTAAGACATTTATACGCAACTTTATTCTTACCCAGTCTTCAGTCAAGGTGGTATATTTATGATAAGTATGGGAGACATGGAATAAGAACAAACACACAAGTAATATAATTTTATTTTAGATTTTATGAGGTACTTTTTCATATACAATCTATGCAGTTATTACCCTACACTTGGGTATTGTATTAATTTTGCAGAATAGACAGCTGGAATGTAGAAGAGTTAAAAAGATTTACCCAAGGTCATAGGATTAGAGCTGACAATGGCAAGACTTAAACCTAGGTCATCCAACCCTGAGTTGAAGGGATTTTTCTATACTACATTGAGAAGTAGAGTGAGATAATTAAGAAAACAAGCATAGGCTTTGGAGTGAGGTGTCCCCGGGCCAGTGCTGCCATTTATTACATATGGTGGCATGAAAAAGTTGCTTAACATTTGAATCTTCGTTTTCTCATTTGTACGCTAGGTATGGTAAGGAATTAAATCTACTCCTCAGAGCTATTCAAGAAAGTTAATGAAATGACATCTGTATACCTCTGAGCACCATGCCTGCACCCTGTGATCTCAATAAATAATCATGGAAAAGTGCACAGGTAGTGATGAGGGAGTAGACTGACTGTTGTATTTCCATGCTTTCTCCTTTAAGGTATGGTGGCACTTTTTTCTTGCTATTAGTAGGGTGTAATTCTTTCAGAAGGAGAAATGGGCATAGAGATAACTGAATATTTAATAGAAGGAAAGGAAGGTGGTATATAGAATCCATGAGTTTGTGATAGGTTAAAATTTAGGAAAAGGATAGAAAAAGTCAGAAGAACTCACTGTAGTCAGGATGACCACCTTCAACAAGAATGAACAGCTTGCAGCTCCACTGTACCCAACAAAGGGAATCCCAGTTACCAGTCTTACTACCCATGCTGGTCACTCATATAGTCCCACTTGTCTGAGACATAATGAGAATATAATGATTTTTTTTCATGAAGCTGAATTTATTCAGCTTAAACACCTACTCTTTATTTTGATATACCACTTTAACTATTTTTGGATGTTAACATATTTTTTTTTCTTTTGGAAAGTAATAGTGCTAAGTAGTTGATAGATTCTTTAAGGTCCTTACTAGACAAAACAAAAAGTTGGCAAACATATGTCTGCTCTTCTTGTTAACTAATATTTTTTTAAAATCCCAGTCTAGAAATCACTGAGTTAACTAATCTTCAAGTTTTCTTATATTTCCTTGGAATCCAGTCTCCTAGATATCAAAGCAATCTACACAGATCATTCAGTAGACCACAGGCAGAGTCTTTCCAAAGAGATATCAATTCATCAGCAGTTCGACTCCTGTTTTCCTGAGACTGGCTATGACTATAGAATTTTGGTGACCACCCTAAAGTCGGTTTTTTTCATCAGTTAAGAAAATAAGTATTTTTTTTTTTGGTACGTTTTGATTTTAATATGAAATGACTCCCAAAGACTCATGTATTGAGGTTTTGATCCCTAAAACAGTGATGTTCAGAGGTGGGGGCTAAACAGGTGATTGGATCAGGAAGGTGCTAACCTAATCAGTGGATTAATCAGTTAATGAGTTCATAGCTGAATGGGATAACAAGAAATTGGGCATGGTTGGGGGAATTAGGTCACAAGTTCTGCATCATCTGAGGCACAAAAGCAATGGAACCGGGGCTGGGGATTTAGCTCAGTGGCACAGCGCCTGCCTGGCAAGTGCAAGGTCCTGAGTTCGATTCCTGGTACCGGGGCAGGGTAGCGGGGGAAGCAATGGAGCTATCCAACCATGGACTAGAATCTCTGAAATGATAAGCCAAAGTAAATTTGTCCTCCTCTAAACTGGTATGTTCAGGGTTTTTGTCACAGCAATGGAAAGCCACATACACTATTACATACAAATTCTGATATAAATATTAAACATTGTTAAAGTTAAGTAGGTCACTAAGTTATTACAGAGTAGCCAAATTACAGAGTACTACAATTACAGAGTAGTAAAATTTTGAAAATCCATAGGTAGATTCTCATCATATTCAAGTTAATTCTTAGTCAGAGAAGTAGTGTTTTTGAAAGGTACATTCACTATAGACATCTAGTGTAAGTGATTTATTTCATTCAAATAATCCTAATTAATGTGGCTTCTACAAGTACATTCAATTATAAGCCAGGGAATATGTTAGCCTTTGGAAAATCTGGCTCATTTAAAAATATGTGATTTTGAATATAGCAAATAAACCAATGGCTTTGCAAAATAAATATTTCCTAAGGGGGATGGCCAGGAAAATGTTAATAACTGGGAAAAGAAATTACTGAACAGAGATCCAAAACACAATACACTGTGACAAACAAAAGTGTTTAATTTTTTGTACTCTTCTTGACAGCAGTATATGATTTCAGTGTGGTGAGTTAGATTTAATATATTATTAATATATTTCACAGGTATTTATCAAGTGCCTAGTAAAAATCTGGAGCTACAAAGATAACAGTCTTTGTTCACCAGATTTCCACCATCTCTAAGAGGTCCTTAGTGTGTATATATAAATTATGTTAGTTTCTACTTGAGCTCATACCGTATCATACACCAAAAGATATGTGTACATATTTTTTAGGTCTTTTTGAGACAGAATTTCACTATGCAGTTCAGACTGGCCTTGAACTCATTTTGTAGCCCAGGTTGGTCTCCAACTTGCAGTCTTCATGCTTCAGCCTCCTTAGTGCTGGGATTACTGGCATGCACCTCTATGCCTGGCCACATTTACGTCTTTTAAAGGATCTAGGTATGTTGGAAAGTTTAAGGAACTGATGGAAGCAGGTGTTAGGGCTGGAGCCAATATTTAGAACATTTACAGCTTAATTTTTAAAACCATCTCTGAGGGATAGAACTTGGATTTCTTTTTCCTTTATTCTCATTTTATGTAGTCGTATTCTAGTAGGTCCTTATAGCACTTCCCGATTCAATCAAACACTGCTTCTGGATTTCTTGGTGCCTTACGTTGGCAGAGGCTCCTCTGGGAACACCAGTTCCTCAGGGAACATCAGTTTAAGGTTATCTATTTCAGCTATTTTCAGATTTGTTAATCCTATCTATCTGAGGAAAAGGGACCAATGCACTATTACTGTTTGCTGGGCTCTGAGATTACTCCTTGCACATTCATCCCTGGGGAGAACCTACCTTCTGCATTTAAGTTCTCTCTGTCTGATGTGAAGGAGGCCCTGGAATACTCCTGTGTACCTACGCTGCATAAAGTAGTTCCCTTCATCTGCCAAGTAGCAGGCCTATTTTGTTTCAGAAAGGAGCTGAAAGTGGGGCCCCACAAACTGAAGCAAACTCTGCCTGGTCTCTTTTCCACATTGCAGGAAGGTTACCCAGAGCACAACCTTCCACTTGTGATTGGGAGCTTTGTGACTGGGTGAGTGGTGCACCTTGCACCTCTTGCATCTTTGGCATCTCTTGCTAGGTCCGGGCAGACTGGCTTTAACTAGAGGTCAAATTTCAAGCCTCTATATGGTATTTTTGTTCTTTTCTGGAACCATAGACATGTATTTCCTTACAGAAGGGTTATGCCCAAGCGCTGATCCTCAGGAGGGACAGCTCAGCTTGTACAGTGGTATAGAGAGGAGGAGGAGTAGCTCAAATGTTTGCAAAGCTGCCCCGATTAAGCCTAGTCCATGTTGCTTTGACAGCCAAATCCAGCATACATTGAAGACCCCAAGACCCTAACTCCTTTGCTGCAAGAAGAGCCAACAGAACCATCTGTAGACTGGTTCTTTTTGCTTGGGGTGGAGAAGTGGAGAAGCCCTTTGACTTGGTCTTTCTGTGTTTTATTTCTGGCCACTTTAGGCCCTGTTGAAACCAGAGGATGCTTCGGTGTGGCTGTTCAGCACCTCACAGAAGTCCTAGCTCTTGGTCACAGAATCTCCCTCTGCTTTGGCAAGAATCACAGTTGCCCCTGGCCCCAAGACCCTTTGCGATGTAATAACTCCTGCTTTTGCTACTTCACATCTAAAAGAAGGACCCGGAGTGAGACAGAGTGGGCTTATATGCTTGAGCTATCCCGACAAACAGACCCAGGGTTCCTGTGAAGTTTAACACCGTGTCAGAGCAGGAGTTTAAACAACCCCTCTTAGAGCCTGCCAGGGAGGTATGTGCTGCCCCTACTCAAGATGTTACCACAGTACTGTGTTGATCCCACTGTCTGCTTCCTGGCCCTAGAGGGTTAAATCAGGAGGGTACAACACCACCCCTTCTACTTCCCGCCTCCCCCCACCCCTTACCTTTAAAAAGTTAAAAAATGTCTGCAGTTGAAATCTCTTAAAGGGGCGGTGCTGGTGAACGAGCACTCTTGGCACGAGTTGCTGAGAAGGCTGGCTAGGGGCGTGAGTTCGCTCCACCAGCACCAAAACACTGAAAAAAGAGGGAGAGAGAGAGAGAGAGAGGGCGAGCGCGAGAGCAAGAGAGCGAGCGCAAGAGAATGGGGGGGAGGGAGGAGAGGGAGGGGGGAGGCAGACAGACACACACTTTAGATAAGGACAATTAGTCAACAGCGAGACCCAGTAGGGAGAGAGGTTTAAATCAGAAGGATTTAATGAGGGTGCTCTGTGCCTTCCCTGAAGCCATGTCCTCCAGCAACTCCCGCCCCTCAGCGTGCCTAGCCCGGGGGGCTCTCTTCTTGTCTCTGTTGCTCCAACTCTCCCTTTCCTCCCAAGCTGGAGACAGGCGACCCTTGCCTGTAGACAGAGCTGCAGGTTTGAAGGAAAAGACCCTGATTCTACTTGATGTGAGCACCAAGAACCCAGTCAGGACAGTCAATGAGAACTTCCTCTCTCTGCAGCTGGATCCCTCCATCATTCATGATGGCTGGCTCGATTTCTTAAGGTAAGGCAGGGGCTTCGATGGATCATTTTTAACTTTTAAAGTAATCTCCACTCCCATTCTCTTCCTATCCCCATTCTGAAGGGGGAAGAAGAAAAAGAAGAAAATAAGCCAAGCAAATCGCTCTCTCAATGAGGAAAAAAAAAAAAAAAAAAAAGGTTTTCCTTCTCCTGGAATATTTGCTGTGAGGCTGTAACTAGTGATTGAGAAAAGCAATGTTTTCTATTAAGATGCACATGTTTGCAATGCAGAAGGCATTTCAGAAACTTATCAGTTATGACTGAAAAAATGTTGTGCTTACATATATTCACAATTAGCCTCCCCTTCTTCTGAAAAAGAAACAAGAGGTTCAGCGCAGTTACAAAAGTGAAGAAAAGGTCTGGAGCAACAAAGACCCAAGAGGAATGTGTGTGTGTGTGTGTGTGTGTGTGTGTGTGTGTGTGTGTGTGTAAGAACAGAGGGAGACAGACAGACAGACACGGAGACAGAGACAGAGTTCAAACGGGGATTGCACAAAGTAAAATTTTTCACGGAAAGGTGATTTTTGTCAGCTATCTCCCACTCCCTGACAGAAAATGAACTTATAGAGAAGCTTGAGCAGTAGGCAAGTCGGGTTGGAGTTTTAAAGTTTTATTTTATGTCCTCCGCTGTCATCTCCACACTTCAGGACTTTGTTAGGCGCTTTTTATAGACAGAATATCCTCCCCCCTTCCCCGCCCTCCAGTTCTTCCAATTTAAATCTCCTGTAGTAACTGCATCCTTTAGTTTTTCTTTAAAGAAAAAAAATCCTTGCCGGGGTCCCAGCATACAAAGGGGAGCGGTAATGGTCCTAGAAATACTGGGGGAGGGGGTAAATTTCTGTGCTTTGAACCCAGCACCGGTGGATTAGCAAGCCCGAGGTTGTGATCCCCTTGGAATCAAACTGTGCTCACCCTCGCCCCGGGTTGTTCCGCAGTTAGTCAACCGTGTTCCCTTCTCGTCTGGGAGAGTTGCAGTGTAAAAAGAGAAATAAATAAATCGTCTGCAATATCGAATCTAAGTGTTGAGTCTTTAAAAGTTCCTTCCAACTTGGAGTCTCAGCAGTGGGCTCCCCCAAAGAGCTCTGAGCGCTCTCCATCCTACTCCTCTGCTTTGAGGCCGCGTCCTCTGTGCGTCTTTCCTATTTTAAACTCTAGGAAATTCGAGTTTTGCTTCTCCGGATGCGCCCGCCCCTCAGCTCTCCACGTCTCCTCCTGGCCTGGGCTTGGTCGGCAGTCGCGGCAGGTAGCTGGGGGCGCTCCTTCTACGTGGTGGTGGTAGGGCTGGTACCCCGAGGACTGGGTGGCTGTCGCCACTGCCTCGGGGGGCTATTTCAATTCCTGCGGGTACAACTGCTAGGGGGGCGGGAAAATCTTTGCACCGCCAGGCTTCCTCCCAGAAAGCTCTTCAGTGCAGCGGAGCGCGTCTTCGAGCTCGTCTGAGAGTGGGTACAAAAAACGACCAGGGTTTTTCGTAAGCCCCACTTGCCTTTCACTCTTCCAGCTGCACGGACTCTTCCACCCGCCCGCCCCCTCCCCCCCCAGCCTGTTCTCGCTAAATACTTGCGTGCTGGAAAAAGAAAAAAAATTCTGGAAGGCAGCTTTTCAGGGAAGAATCCATGGTTGGGTGCATCTGTATTGGTTCTGCGGGCTTCTGGAAGGAAGGCTGTTGGAAATGCCGGGTTTCCCTGGGGTCCCACTCGCGCAGACGTCTCTTCTTTTCGAAGCCGTCCCACGCGACGCCCTAATTGCGCGCGCCCTTGAACTTGGTCCTGGAGTCCTCAGCCAAACCTTCCTTCTAGCCACCGGAATTATCAGGGTAGCCACGTCTCTACTCGATAACTAAAACGGAGGCTCCGTTTTTCTCTTTTTGCATCCACCTCCTTCATGATGCTCTTTAACTTCTCCATTTTGATTTGAGTTTTCAGAACCCGAAAAAGCAGAGCGTTAAAAAATAATTTACAGACTCGGAACTTAGCAGCAGATCCCCTTAGCACTAACAGTGTCGCCATGGCCCCTTCTCAAAGTAGTAGCGTTTGGCTTTTTAAAACCTACTGATGGAAATCTTGAGCTTATAAGTGTAAATGGTATTGTTGTGGTGCTCCTCGAATTTTCCTGGACGCGCAGGTTCTACATTTCGGCAAACTTGTCTTCCTCAGAGCTTCCCAAAAGCCTCAAGTAGGAAGGGAAAAAAAGCTCAGTTCGGGATGGGGAGAAACAGGTTACCTTTCTTGAGATCAGGCTGAATTATTTCAGGGATCACAGAGACACTGCCTTTACTTTGTGTGTGGGGAAGAGGTGTCCTCAGAAAGATAGGAGTTACCCCCAAATTTCTCCGCCCCGAGATTTGAGAAATAATGCAGTTGTTAAAATGTAATTGGAAACCGATTTGGCATTAAAAAAAGTCGGAATCTACTTGACCTTAGTGGTCAGGCCTGGTCTGAGGGCAAGAAAGCAAGATTTCACTTTTCCCACAGAGGTTACGGTGCCGCTTGCTGGCGGGGAGGTTTGGCAGGAGCCCCAGGCCGGCGGTCTGCGAGGTGAGCGTCTCCGCAGGGAGTGTTTTCCGTGCAGTGGCAGAAGCCAGGCAACCTCGCCTGGATCCCATGTTCGCAGTATGGTGTCCCCCAAACCCACATGCACACTTGGAACACACACAGTCTCAAACTCTTCAGCCATCAGTATCTGGGGCATCGGGGTGTCTGGGAGGGGGTCTCTGCGGGCCGCTGAGCAGAGAAGGCATAGCGGGGCTGAGGGCTCGGGGAGGAACCGAGAGGTTGAAGGCAAAGCGGGCTGGGGTGCCGGGCGCACACGGGGCGCGTGGGAGACGCCGCGCAACAGCCGGGGGTCCCACGCTGGCTGCAGGCTCCTTGCGGAGCACTGGCTAGGTCTTCCGCACAGAATGAAGAGGGCCTAGCTTCGCGCCCCGCGCCCTCTAGCCTTCTGGGATCCTTTCCTCTCTCCTTCTCTACCCCTGCAGCTCCAAGCGTCTGGTGACCTTGGCCCGGGGACTTTCGCCCGCCTTTCTTCGCTTCGGGGGCAAAAGGACCGACTTTCTGCAGTTCCAGAACCTGAGGAACCCGGGGAAAAGCCGCGGGGGTCCGGGCCCGGATTACTATCTCAAAAACTATGAGGATGGTGAGAAACTTGGTCTCCATTCCTGAAGGGTGGGAGGAAGTTACGGGGTTGTGAGCTAGCGCTCAGTGTGTGTGTGTGTGTGTGTGTGTGTGTGTGTGTGTGTGTAAAAGAGAGAGAGAGAGAGAGAGAGACTGAGAGAGAGAGATTTGGAGGAGAGGCTGTTTGAAGCTTCTCTGAAAAAATGGAAGCCAAAAATTCAGGGGATCTCAAAGTGGCATGATTAAGCAAAGGGCACTCACCAGGCTGACCTCGTCCTGGTTGTCGTCCTTTTGCTGGACTGCAGAGTCTCCAAACTGGGAATTAAACAAAACAAAACAAAAACAAAAAGTAACTTCTGGTAGGGTAGTTCTGAGGGGAGAAAATGTAATGAATTTCTTGGGAAAATTCACCCAGGTTTAGATTATAAAAGGGTGAAGTTCATATTTTCATTCATTAAAATTCTAGGCACATGTGCATCTTTTTCTTTCTTTTAAACCATATTGGTATAAGCACACAGAGATTTAACCTTTTTTGAAGCTCACTCTAAGATTTTTCTAGAATAATATCTTTTAGGTTGGTTCCTTGTTTAGAGAGTTTTGAAAGCTCTCTGTAGTGGGTTCTCCTTTAGATTGTCAAATTTCAGAGTTACATTTCCCCCCTGAGTTTAGAAATGGGATTGCAAATGTCAGCCTTTTTTTCCTGCCAGAATCAAATGAGTTAAATGTTGAAAGGGCTTTAAAAGCTTTAATTTCTATTCCAGTGTGAGGACAATGATTTTAGGTTGAACAGTTTCATTTTTACTAGGGAAAAAATGAAATGGTAATTTAAAATTTTGTTTAGATTTGTTGTTAATACCTATGAACTTTCCTTGTAGCTAGTGGGATATTCTTTCAGAGAAATATGGTGGGTCTTCATCAGTGGTCTTCAGCTACTGATGCAGTTAAAATTCAACAGAAGAGGCATTATTGTCTATTATCGAAAGACTACCTCTTTTCTGCTGTCCTGTCTCATAAAAAAGCTGCAGTTTTATTTTTAAGGGGCTCACAGACAGGTTCTCAGAGCCTATAGATTTTGTTATAAATTGTCTTTATAAGTCAGCTAAACAAGGAAGTTTACTTTTACTGTCTGGGATTTCACTGAATGGGACTTTTGGAGAGATATTTGGGTCTATTTCAAGAGTAGGTGGGGAAAATTTTTTAAAAGTACCAAAATAAAGACAGAAGGAAAGACTGTCTTGACTTTGAAGCATGACTAGGACTTATTCTTTTATAATATTTGCCCAAGAAGGGAGGTGTTTAAGGCTATATCTTTTCAAAGGTAGAAGGCATTGCTATAAAAATGTGGGTTACCAGTAGATTTTGCTGTCACTCAGCATAAAATACTGAAAGGTAAAAGATAATCCTAAAGAGCAACTCTGATAGTAATTTGAGCCCGGACATTATAGCTCCCAGGGTCACTTGTCTTCTCTATGATCAGATAGGAGAAGGGAAATATGAATGATTTTCCTGATGAGCCAGTTTTTCTTTGAATCCATTGACACAACTTCCTCTTTATTTTGTGGAAGAACTTTCCAGAGTTCTAGGAATCACTATCAGAAAAAGAATTTTAGAACTTTAAAAATTGACCCTTTTCTCCCAACTTGTACCTAAGATTATGTTACTGATTCATTGAGAGCAATGAAATCTGCTTAAAATGATATATGCAATTTGTTTCCCTTTGTAAAAGGAGAAAGTGGGCATCATGGGGAGAAAAGAAATTGGCAGAAGACTGTATCCCATAAAACTTCTTAGCATTAGAAAAAAGTGGGGACTAGAAAGTATCTAAGAGGCTATTTTCAGTCTTCCCATCACTTAAGGGGCCAGTACAGGATCACTCCATATGGAATCTTTCCCCCCACCAATCTGGTATTAAATATCTCTAGGAATGCAGTTTTCACTACTCCTGGGAGAGAGAGTTCCTCTGTCCCATAGATTTTTGCCTGAAAATTTCTCATGAATTTTCTCTTTATAAATCTGAAATTCTTTACAAAGATTTCTCTCTAATTTTTAGACATCTGCCTACAAAACAATTATTGTTTTTGGTATAGATATTAGATTATGAAAAGTTTCCTTTTAACTGTTTTTTTTTTTTTAATTCAAACTACCTGCATTTAATTCTTTAAAAACTTCCTTTAAAGTAGCCCTTCCAGACACTAATCTGTTTTATTGCTCTTAGTTGAACTCCTTTTTGATTTATGTCTCCCTGGTAATAAGATGCTCTAAGCTATATCAGTATTTGGGGACTTAACAAAGATAAAGAGAGTGGGAATGTCCTATCTGTGCCCTTTGAGGCTCAAGTATCCTCAGATCACTCACATTGTTTTTGTTGCTGCATGTTGCATTGCAGAATTCATGACAAAAATGTTTTTGGTATAGTCTCAACAGTTTTGCAAACATTATACTTTCCTGTGACTTTTCATCAAATGATAACTGTTATCACCATGAGCATCTTAAAATAGTTAGGCTTTCTTAGTAAATAGCCCTGAAGAAAGCACTTGGTTACCAAGGCACTGTATTAAAACTGTATTTGCTTGAATATAGTAGAGAGTAACAACATAAATTTGAGTAATAAAATATATCTAGTGCTATATTATGAAATTCGTTGAAAAGAATATGGACTTTGGAGTTAGAAAGCTTACACTGTGGGTATGGCTCTATCACTTATGAATGTGTGGTTTTGGGTTCACTGGTTCTTTATAACATATGGGTAGTGATAATCCCTGCTGTGCATTGCTTCTGTAAGTGCTCCAAGAGGTAACTTGTGTAAAATATTTTCTCTACTGCAAAGTAGTATATGAAGGCTAAAGATACTTATTTTTATTAAAGGCAACTTCTCAAAATTTATAACATATATACTTAATATTTTAAAGTGGGATTAAGGAAAGAATATGATTAGCTAAAACTGAAGGAAAGAGTTTGATTTAATAAATTGCTTGTGAGAGTTAAGAGAATATAGGACAGTTTAAGGCTTGCTGGTGAGAATCTAAGCTTTCTCTCTCTCTCATGTTGATAAGAGAACAGATTAAACTTTAGTTTTATTATATACCATAAAATGGAGCTTGGCAAAAATGCTTTTCTGGTTAATTTATTCATATTGCTACTCTGATGAGATTTATTGTTGTTAATTTGTCTTGAATTAATAAGACAATTAAGAAGTTATGTGGCTTCCATTTTGCAGATACTTTTTCAAGCACATTAAAGCAGTTACATTTTTTCTAACTTGGTAAAGTCATTGTTAATATATCACTTTGGTTACCTCTCTGGCTACAGCTTTAATAAATTACTTATTTCAGTCTCTGCTTAGGCAGTTTGAATTCCATGCAAACATAGTGATAATGGAGGAAGCAGAAATAGGGTAGTTCTCCATAGCCTATGACTCTTGCCCTGCCTAACTTTCTTTTCTATATGATGTGATACTGTACTTGTTTCCAACAACTAAATCTTGGGCTGATCTTTTTGTTCTTGAGTTTATTTTCCTCCAGTCTTCCCCACTTTGTTATGTATGTTATGTTTTATTTGCATGTTTCCATATGACAATAATCACCTCTTTAATGAAGAGGTACAGTATTTGTTACACATATCAAAAGCCATCTTAATATATCTGAAATGTATTCATCAGGTTATTTTGCAGAAAAACCTTGATAATTTTTTCAATTGCTTGTAAAAATTTCATACTCTTCAATGTGACTTTTGAAGCTTTCCACATTTTTGTCTCACCTTTTGAAAACTCAGTTTCCACGTATCTTTTAGTATAGCTCTCCTTGATTAACCACTGTCTCCTGAAAGTACCTTTATTATCCCACTGCTATACTTTGTTTAGCCAGTATATTTTTGCTTTGAATGTCATTCTCTTGGCTCTGTTCCAATCTCACTCCACTCCACTCAATTCTTAAAGATTAATTGCAAATATTCTTTATTTGTACAAAGCCTTTTTCTGAACAGTACATTCTAAGATTACTTATTCTTTCTTTAGGCCCTTTCTGCCATGTTTTGATATTTAGTTTTTTCATATATATATATATATATATTTGTTTTATTTTTCCAACTAGAATGCAAATTCTTCATTGGAAAGGACCTTAGATAATTATTACATGAGTGTCTAGCTCTACATATGACACATGCAGATCCTCAGCAAATATTCTTGGATACATAGTAGTGTAAGAGCACTATGGAAAGATCTTGGGATGAAGAAATGAGGGAAGGCATATTTGAAGATTCTATTCATTTTTTGACTTTAATGCATATTCCCATGAAATGTACTTTTAATACTTATTTTAAAGACAATGTTAACTATTTTAATCATGTACTTTTATCTTTGGTTGTTAAAGTTGTCTTGGCTTTGGGCTGTGCATTGGATTAACTTTACCACTCAGTTTAAAGCCTTGCATCAGAACTAGTTTTGTAAAACTTATTTGTTTCTTTCCTGCCTTTACTTTTGCCTTTCATTATTAACCTTATGTAGTTTTCAGTGCCTCATTTTCCAATTCTTGGTGTATCAGTGCTTTTCTATTCCTTTCAAGTATCTTTTATCTTCCCTGAAAAATTTTCTCTTTAGAGCTTCTGAAATTCTAGATGAATGTGAGTATACTTTGTACATTCTAAATTATGGTATAACTATTACTGCTGCTGTCCTTTCCCCAGGAAGTTTTCCCCTTTCATGAAGTTGAAATAGCTAGTTTTTCTTTCTATTCCCATTTCATCAATCAAGATACATGACATACAAACAGCACAACTTCCAAAACACATATTTGCTTTGAACTTACCTACCTTTAATTATCTCATCTTATTCACATAATGTTTCTTGGAATTCAGTTACATTGAACAAATATTTATTAATTACCTACTCTGTGTTTAGTTTCATGCTGGACAAAGAATGGTAGGATATAAAATAAATAAAAGATACTGTCCCAAATCACCATTAGAACACAACAATAATTACTTTAGACCAAATGCACTAGTCAGTGTTAATATTAGTAGATGAAA